GAATCTCCTTAGCCCACAGCCAGGAAAAGCAAAACAGAAGAATTTGGATCCAACTAACCCAGCTATTCTGTTTTCAGGTTTAAAAAGGTGATCAGTAGCAGTGGGAAACTTTGATGCCTCTCAGTCTGGACTGGTTGCCCTCTGTGCTTGGGGCATAGCTGTCAGCCTGAGATTTCCCTTCCTTGCACTCGTGGGGATTCCCTTCATTTGTCTCCTGTGTTGGATCTCCTATTTGCTGTCCCTTAGCGTCCTTTTTATTGGTCTACTCTTTTGTTTTGGCAAACACATCCTATAATAATTTCTTTAGAAAGTATGCATGGCAAGTAATTTATTGAGTTTTTATGTCTCAAAATGTGTTTATGGTTATTGATGGTCTGGCTAGATGTAGAATTAAAGTTTAGAAATCATTTTTCTGTTTTCTTCTTACTTCTAGAGTTGCCATTCAGAGATCTGAAGCAATTCTGATTCCTGATCCGTTGTGTATGAACTATATCATCATTCCCCTCTGTGTACCCTTACCTCCACTTCTAGAAACCTGAAAATCTCATTGTCCACAGTGATTTTAAATTTCACAGTGGTGTGTGTATAGACATGAGTTATTTATTTTGCAGAGTACTTGGTGGGTCCTTATAATTTGGGCTATGCATGATTTAAGTTCTGGGAAGTTTTCTTGGATTATCCCTTTAAATTCCTCCCCTTCATTTTCTTTGTTACTTACGCTCTAGTTTCTGAGAGATTTTCCCAAGTTTATCTAACCCCTCTACTAAGTTTTAAATTTTTCAATGTGTTTATTTTTCAAGAGCTGTTTTTTGTTTTCTGAAAGTTCTATTTTTTGTTTCATAGTTGTAATATCTTTCTGAGGATATTAATGGTAACTTGAAGTGTTCTTCTTGTATAGTCTGTTTCCCCTAACTTGTTTTTGTTTGTTTTGGGCTCTATCTTCCAATTAGGGACTCTTCTCCAGATGTGTTAGGAGCCTTGGTTTCCACTCATGATTAGTAAATAGAGCAGTGGTTCTCAATTAGGGGCAATTTTGCCACCCTCTTGGGACATTTGTCAATGTGTGGGGACCTTTTTGCTTGTCAAAGCTAGGGAGGGGAGGTGTGCTACTGGCATCTAGTGGGTAGAGGCTAGGGATGCTGCTAAGCATCCTAAAATGCATAGGACATCCCAACACAACAAAAAACTATCCATCTCAAAATGTTAATAGTGTTGAAGTTAGAAACCCTGCAGTAGAGGGCCTGAAAGCTGTTTGAGAGAGCTCTGAAGGTGAGGATAGAATGTGTTGACTTTGGGTTTTGCTGGAGGATGATCTAGTTGAGCAGTTTGGAGAACCTCATGTCATTATCTTTAAGTCTTTGCTTCTGGGATGGTCAGATATTCAATAGAAAAGTCTTTCATATTCTGCCTTAAGGGTAAAGATCTGGCTTCCAATATTCCCCCTGTTAGGAGAAAACGGACTAGGGCTGTCTGCATTCAGTGTGTGTGTGACAACATAATCCCCTTGCTTTCCATATGGTACCTACCTCCTCAATGGCCTTGTGCCTCCAGTTCTGAGACCCTGTGTTTTACCCTCTCCAGAGAAGAAACCTGTTAGGATGAGGCGGAGGTAGTTGCCCATAGTGTGTAGTAGAGGAGACGACCCAGGGCTCTAACTGCTTCTCTAACAAATTTCATTCAAACCGTTTTATTTTAACCCCATCCTCTCTTTACTTCTGGTTCCAGAGTTATCTGGTGCTACCACTTCATGAGCTCCTTGAAGATTCTGCAGTGTAAATGGGTTTGGTTTTGAACTTTCCTTATTTTTCTCTTTGCAATTCAGCTTTCCCAAGTCTGCTAAGTCAATCGCCACTACTCCATCTGCTTTCTTGCCTTCCAAATTTGATTATCACTATTGTCTCCTCTCTTGTTCTCCCAGTCTTCTTTTTAAAACCCCTTTGGTATCATTTTAGTGGGGTTTGGGGAGGGAAATAAATTAGATGCATTGTGCTCAATCTATCCTATTATTCCAGGAACCAACATATTATATCCTAGCATAATTTCATTTAATTCTAGTTAATTAACTTCTAATGAATATATTCATTCTTTATATATTTACCTTTGGTGTCAGAATTGTTTATTTCCTAGACTTAACTTTTCTTCACATAAATGAAAACTAGAGGAGATTATTCTGTGTCTGTATAGGGACACAGTTATATTCTTTTCAAAACCTTAGGGGATATTATAGCAATCAATATTCAGCTGTAACATATTCTGGTTTAATTGACCTTTTACTTAAAAACATAGACTGCTGTAAGCAGCCATCTGCCTCAAGTAGAACCTTGTGTTACAATCCCAAGCGTAATATTTAGTATTTGTAAAGAGTTGAATAAAGAATATATATTTCATCAAATCTGAAATGCCATCAATTATCTTATTATTCCATTTTGATTAATACCCTGGTCATAATTAGTTACAACTATATCAAAAATACTCATGAATTGGCCATACCATAGATTTAAAAATTTAAGGATGAAATTTCAAGCATCAAAAAAAGGTACAGGCTGGCCAGATTGAAACCTATGCCTCCTATATTTTTGCTGTTCCTTAAACTGTCCTCCAAGTATTATTAATAAATGTGATACAGTCGCTGTGTCCCACATACATTCTCACCCCTTCCCTTTTAAGATAGGAGTCCAAGTCAAATTTTAAATTTTTATCAATTTCTGCTGGGTTTCCAGTTAATGGATTAAATCACAGAAAAATTCAAAGTATATTTTGATGTCTTTTTAGGGTATTAAATTTGGTTTACCTTTTTTAACCCCCTGGATGTCATCGAAGGACAGACCATTACAATACTTTACTTATGACCTGTCTTCAGATCTTCAATAGTTCATAGATATATTTGTTTTCTTTGTTTCATATTATAAAATTAGCTTAAAGAATTGGGGATTTGATTTGATTTTTATTCACAGATTTTAAAAAGTTTCTGTGTCTTGTCGTCTCAGTATTCCCTTTTCTTTCCTTTCTCCCTAGCTCTCTTAATTTTACTGTTACTGAAAGTGTGGGGAGAGCTTTGCTTTCTTTCTCACCTTTGTGCAAGCAGGAAAAAGTAAAGAATTGACTCAATTGACCACAAACAATCCCACATAGAGATCTCTGGAAATTTCCAAAAAGATGTAGTGAATTGAAGCAGACTACACAAATGTATATATAAATGGAGTCCCAAGGGTTTATGTTTGGACGAAAACCAATTACATTAAGCATTTCCTGACATTGCTTGCTATTGTCAGGATAAGTAATCACAAGACATTCAGGTTGAAAATGAAAACGTTTGTGGGAGTCATGCCTCACTTTGTTGTATTGTCTTCTCACAGAGGAAAATCTTTGAATGGTTTTGAGTGATCATCGAAAAGATTTCTTTCTATAGAGTTCTGAAAGGTACATTATTACCATTTCTTTTCCTTCCAGGTTAGCTTTGTTAGGTTACTTGAAGAGAGAGATTTGAAGCTGCAGTGTAGCTGATGTCTTCCTGATGGCATTCATGTCATTTTGGAGAAATGTTTAAGTCTGAGTTAAATTAAATTCAATTGCTTGTCCTCTAATTGAAAGAAGAAAGACAAACTACTTAAAGACAAGCAGTATCACAAGTGTGTAAATGAAGAACTTTTCTCTATCTGCTAATTGAGCACATGCATCCAGATAAACTGTTCGTACCTGTAGACACCAGTAAGGGTGATTCTTTGTTTCCCCAGCCCCTTCAGGGGAAAAAATACATGCATGTATACATGTACACATGTGTGTATGTAATGACTTAAACCATACTAGCCTTCAAATAAACTTCTATAGTATATTTTTGTTCTATATTTTTAATACTCAATTCAAACATCACCAATCTATCTTTGGATTATCTTAATTGAATTTAGATATTTGATAACTGTTAATCACAAGGAACCCTTTGTGTGTATTGTGTGTGTGTGTGTTTATTGCCTGGACATTGGCATGTTTAAATCATCTCAGCTGATTCAACTGTGTGGCCAGTATTGAGAGCCACCAATTTAGATTGAGGAGAGGATTAGGTAAGCAAATAGCTGGACCAGTGGCTCTACTGATAGAAATTACTTCCTTTCCTGTGGAACAATTCTAATTTGAAGTTTGAGGAGGATGAAGGATTTCTCTGTGATTTCAGGTGAAACTGGAGAAGTTATTGGAGACCAAATCATGCAGGGCTTTCTCTTTGTGAAGTGCCTGCTAAAGTCTTTTCCCCAGATTTTATTGGAATGTATTTTTTTTCTTTATTTAGGAATTACTTATATATTTTAGTTCTTAACTAGATATGTGTATTGCAAATACTTTCTCTCTCTCTAGGGGTTTAAGCAGGGATATTATATCATATTTTCATTTTTAAAACATCACGGCAAGAATGAATGGGAGAAACAAGTTGTTCAGTAGGCCTAGTAGAAGATGGTAGTAGCTTAGACTAGGGTATGGGACATGGAGAGAAGTGGACAAGTTCAAGAGATATTTGAGATAAACTCAGTAGAACTTGTTAGTGAAGATTAGGTAAGTGGCAGTTAAGATGAGAGGTGTCAAGGACGTCTTTGGTTTCTGGTTCAAAAGAATAAAGCTCTATACACCACCAGTACTATGAACTTTACTTATTTTGTTTAAGATGTTGATAATCTGTATGGACTATTACAGTGATTATTTTCCTTGAATATAATAAGAATACTATTTAAAATTTTAAAAAATGATTTCAAATTGCAAATTTAATTATTTGTCTTATGTTTTTCTAGTTTAATAATCTTTTTAAATTATAAATTGCTTATCTCATGAATTATAGAAAAATATATTTAACAGTACATTATTGACATTTTATTTTGAAAACTATCTTCTATCTGGAGTCTAGAATAGAATGGCTTGGTGGTTATACAGTATGGCTATAATAAACAATGAAATAGATATTGATGGAAAATAGGAACTTAAAATCAATGAATTAAAATTGACTTTTTGTTTTTTAGGGGTCCCTTCAGTGTTGTACGACGATGTATCAACAGAGAAACTGGGCAACAATTTGCTGTAAAAATTGTTGATGTAGCCAAGTTCACATCAAGTCCAGGGTTAAGTACAGAAGGTAAGAGATGGATTTCAAGTAAGTTATTTGATGTCTGGCTTTATTCCATCTCCAAAATCCATTTATCAACCTAACCTTCATCTGGGGGTGGGGAAGCAGAGGGTGCGATGTAGTAGGAAGTGGGTAGAGACAGTTTAAACTCCATTCTAGGTTGTCAGAATTCTAGAACATAGTATTCGAAAGGTAGAGTAATTTAAAGAGTTATAAAGTCTTTGAGTGAGGGCTTATGTTTTTTGACTAGGAAGAGTGAAATCTGAACATATAATTTTTGGGGGTCTAATTTTGAATTCCGTGGTTTGGGACATGGCATGGGAAGGGAGGGAGGCAAAATAACGGCAAGGATAATAATTGCAGATTCAGAAGAAGCTGAGTTCCCTCCAAGTGCATAACTACCTACCTTTAGGATTATGATCTAGTAGAACTAGAAGATTCATATATCATGTTTGACATATATATGGTATATATGTAAAAATTTGAAAGATCAGTGCTGTTAAGACTTGCAGGACTTAAAATTTTGTTTCAAGACATTAATATGGATAATTATATTTATATATGTATAAATATTTGTAAACAATATGTAAAAATTTTAAAGGTATTTACTTTTTAGTTTTTTAAGTCATAGTTTCATGTAACCACAGCATATATGCTCATACTTCAGATGGCACAATTGTGATTATTATATTAACTATTCTAATTAGTCTGTCTTTTGACTTTTCTACAGTCCAGTAAAAGATAAATCTTTCCTTAGTCCTTTCATTTTTAATCCAAAGAGCAATGCAGTTGATAATTTAGATTAGAAAATGTAGGGCAGTGTAGACTATTTATATTTTATCCAGTTATTTTATTTTAGGAAGTAAAAGCCCACATACCGTGAGCTCCAAGTTAATCTGTTCCTGCAGATTTTTTTTTCAGGATCATTACTTTTAAATACTTTGTGACTCTTTGAATTGTTATAATGATTTTAGAAGTTTCTTAGAAGTGCTACTCACAAAGAATCATTAAGTGATTTGTTTTTAGTGCTTTAATCTTTAAAATCTTTTGGTAAGATTTAGAGATTTTATGGTTTTATACTCTGGAATTGGCTATTACTGTTTTTTAATATAAATTATTTTATAAATTTAGCAAAATTTAAAATTGACTTTTAAGCAAGCTTTACATCTAAATTATGTTTCCTTAAACTTTAACTGCCTTTAAGTTTAATATACTGTATTTGGTTTTGCTGTACCTCAGTTGTCTGACTAACAGAGAAAACCAAGTACTGAGGTAATTTTGTATAAACCTAACTAATTAAACATATAGATGTGTTGAATCTTCATTTCTCTTAAATGTTCTGATACTGTTTATAAACTTAGTAAGATTCCATTTTAAAATCACAAGTCTAAATCAATTACTCAATTACCTATATTAAATCGGAGTAATAAAGCCAAAATTCTCTTAAGCATTGTTACAAATAATTAGAATAAATATTCATAGCTTATTTCTTAACCTAAAACTATTAATACCAAAAGTTTGATTTATCTCATTGTTATACCTAATTCTAAACCTCTACAGGCTAAAGACATTTTGTTAGGGAGACAATTAATTACCTTCTCATTTGGCTGAGGTTGTTTATTGACAGATTTCTTCAGCCAGATCTCTGGAGCTACAGATCCAGAATTTCAGACTGAACCTCTATTTATTGTCACCTAGTCAGGGAGTCAAACTCCAAACTTAAAAAAGGGGAGGTGGTTTGGCATATAGTTCATATCCCTGGGTTTAAGTCCTATCTTTACTTAATATAATATATGGGAGCCCATCACTGAAGTTGTAGCTTTTCCTTCTTTGCTTTGGCATTGCTTTTGCTATATAAATGTCTTTAAGTCCTGTTCTGAAGACAAGGCCAGGCCATTCCATTGATCCTTCATACTCTTAAGCCTCTTTGGACTTGATGGAATCCTGTACTCTTTTCACATACATCTTATATGGTAGGGATACAACATATAGATATTAAGTGAAATCCAATTGAATTCTGCATATTATCCATGACTTTTGTCTGGTTTTGGTCAGAGGTCAATGCTATTCAAGTGAAATATGCAATTGGACCTTTATATTTATGGCTCCAGAATGAATTTTTGCCATCTTCTTTAGCACAATGACTCATTATAAAGTTAACTAAGAAGCGAAATCAAAATTTCATCTCTACCACCTCTACCTTTTTTTTTTTTTTTTTGCAATGAGGTTCTCATACCCTCTATTGCTCATATTCACACTAGCTTACTTTATTCTAACTTGGGCACATTTTATTATAAGGTGTATAATGCATGTAATAAATAGTAAATTATTTCATTATATTATTTCATTATATATTATATAAAGCCTCTTTGAACAGTGTCCCCCCCCTCCAACCCAACTTCTTTCAACCCTTTTCCAGTCACCACAGACAAAACATCTAAACCCCTCTGCTCTTTCAGTCCATTTAAAAATTGTTAGGAAGAGTGCAATGCGCACCACCGGAAGGATGGACATATTTGAAACTCGGACTTGGGAGGCGGGGGGGCAAGGGCAACATACGTAACCTAAACATCTGTACCCCCATAATATGCTGAAAGAAAAAAAATAAAAAAAAATTGTTAGGGTCCAAAAATGACCTCTTTCATGGCTTAGCATAGAAGGAGAAAAATATTTTGAAGTGAAATTTAACACAATAAAACGGAATCCATAAGTTTAGTTAAAAATATCTAGAACTATGTTTATTCACCATTACATTCTCTTCTAATTAAACTTCTCTCTCAAGTAATAGATAATTTAAGATCAATTTTATTCTTCTTTACTTTTGTATTTTATTATTTTATTTTTGGCTTTTTGGTTTATTTGATCTTTGTCATTACCTCAGTATTTTTTTCCTGTTTTCTTAGTGTACTTGTATTCAAATACATTATTCAGTGAAATAGGTTTTATAAAGAGTTGCATAAGAACCTACCATATTCTATTTATTTGGATAGGTCATTATAATACAAATATAAAAAAAGCAACTACCCTTAAGAGACTTACATTTTGCTAGTCCCCAACCATTTTTTATAACAAGGTTTTTATTAGAAAAAATATGTAATAAATTCTAAGTAACTAATTTACAAATTAACTTTTGAAATGAAATATATTTATTAGTTGGAGACTACCTGTACATGTTTTCATATTTTTAAATTCTCATTGTTCTACTGAAGATGAGATATTATATAATAATGATTAGAATATATTCTTTATTTTTGCCATCAGAATCATAATGTTTTTGTTGAATAGGCATTCTTAACTTGCAGGCTGCAGGCTACCCAACAATCCCTTCAAATTATAAGCAGAATTGTGTTTATTTTTGTAGAGTGTCTACAGCTTTTATTAGAGTCCTAAAAAGGCATATTATTCCTAAATAGTTTGGAATTTGTTCTTTCACATGTATGAAAAATGAAATTGATGCTTATAAACATGAAATGAATAAGAAGTTTCTATTAAATGAAAGCTGGGTGAATTTATATTAGGATATTACTTCTGATTAGGGGATATTTTCATACTTATACAACTTCCATTAATGAAACTTCTAGAATATTATCTTGAACTTTTAATTAATATACATTTTGTCTCTTACTCTGATGAGCCACTAATTAAATTAGACTCTTTTGTTTTAAAAATAGGTGTCAAAATTAATTCTGAAAAATTATTATAAGGAAATTAAAGGAAAGTAAGACACATAGAATTGGAAACTGAATTGTCAAAAGTTCTGAGATCTTGATAGGACTCAATTCTTTATGGTTTAAATTTAGAAGTCCAAAATTGGCAGTTTTTATTTTGGAGTATCGTAAGTTGTATTCTAGAAGCAGTATAGATTGCATTCTAGTTTGCTTAGTCTTCAAAGATATCTTCTTCTAAAAGTCCCAAATAGTGGGTGATGTCAGTGAAATTGGAGGAGTAAGGACTTTAAACAATTCTCAACTCCATAAAAAGAATGAGAAAACTGACAAAAATGTCAGAATCGACTTTTTCGGAGCTCTGGAAATTGGCCAGAGGCTTATAGCTATCCAGGATGAATTTATTCAAGATAAATGGCTGATTCTTGGTAAGAACAGCGAACTTCATAGCATTGTAGTAATAACTTGCCCCATTCCCATCCCCTTCTCTCCAGCTCCATGGTAATCTTGAAAATAAACAGTTCACAATCATGATGAAAACCAGCAGCCTGGCAGCCATCAGAGGGGGCAAAATGGGGATGGAACACCTTCAAAGCCTCATTCCAAGAATATTGTCTTTTTTTTACTTGTCTGATAGTTCCGTGGAATATCTCTGTCTTAGTTCATTTGTGTTGCTATAACGGAATACTTGAGGCTGGGTAATTTATAAAGAAAAGAAGTTTATTTGGCTCACAGTTTACAGGCTGTACAAGAAGCATGGTGCCAACATCTGCTTCTGGTGAGGGCCTCAGGCTGCTTCCACTTATGGCCGAAGGTGAAAAGGAGCCAGCATGTTAAGAGATCACATGGCATGGGAAGAAGCAAGAGAGAGAGCAGGGAGGGCCAGGTTCTTTTTAACAGCCATTTCTCCTGGGAACTAATAGAATGAGAACTCACTCATTATCACAAAGACAACACCAATCCATTCATGAAAGATCTGCCCCCATGACTCAAACACCTCCTATTAGGCCACCACCTCCAACGTTGGAGATCAAATTTTAACATGAGGTTTGGGGGAACAAATGTACAAACTATAGCAACCCCACCTGCAAGACAGTCTTTATTTAGCCTGACTCAGAGATCACCCACTGCAAAAAAATCTTTCCTCCAGAGGCATTTACTAAAAACTTTTAGAGGCAATTGTTTAACATCATTTCTTCCTGAGGCAGTAAATAACAGCTGGGTTTAAAAAAAAAACTTAAAACAAAAAAACTGGGGAATGTGATGTCCATAAAGGCTTTGAAACAGCTATGACATATTCTTGGGTATACAGAAAGCCATGCATGTGTGTAAGGCTGTGCACAT